CAGATAGCGATTATGAGATTTTATGCAGTCAGAAAACATGCTGAGTTGCCAGACTTCTGCAGTCAGATTTCTAGGATTCTTCAGAAGATACTGGCAGGATATATGTGTGTGTATATATATGTGCATATATGTATGGAGCTTTCAACCTTCCTTATAAGGACCCACCTTTGCTTGAATTCTGAGACACGCACGCAGGAGTGACCAGCCTAATAACATCCTGAGCATTAAAATAGGAAGTTAAAAATTAGGGCTCAGATTCATAACAGAGAGTAATAGCGGTTTCTACCATAATTTTGGGAATACATTTTCCTGTCTTCTCCCCGGCTGTGAAAGGTCACAGTTGGTACCTGGGGTGTAACAGTCCTGAGTGCTGGGTAGCACTGAAGGGAGCTATTAGAAGACAGAGCTGTCACCTGTTGTCATGAGAGGCTTCTGGGCACCATTTGCGTGCTTTCTCTTAGAAGTGCTTGCTGCATTATTGACACAAGCTGTCAGAGACAGTACTCGGATGGATGAGAAAAGAAGGTGGAAAGACTCGCCGAGTGCAGCAATCAGCCCAGATTAAGGTTGGTTTGGGAGTTTCTTTCCTTTTTTTTTTTGTTTTTTTTCCCCTCTACATAAAGCCCCCCAAATGAGTTTGTTGATCTTCGTGGCCTTATTCTGAAACCAGGTTGCAATGGAAATAAAGAGCTGCCATGTTACCACGTGATGAATGGAATGGTTGTGCAGTCTACGGTGGACAGAGGAGCAAGTTTTTTTTTTATTTATTTTGCGTCTTTCAAACAGAATGTATAAGTATTTTTTAAGATTGATTTCACCTCTATTTGTTTGTATGTAAAGTAAAAATTTTTCTGAGTTCATAGTGAATCAGAATAAAAGAAACTCAAATGATGCAGGAAAAAAAACCTGACAGGTTTTGGAATTGAAGTTTTATACTATGGCATAACTAAGATTCCTCCTTGGCTTGAGAGGCAGCATGATGTGAGAGGAGACTTTTCACTTTCAGCCTGGGGAGTGAAAGAAACCTTCCAATAGGCCATAAAAGTCTTGTGTTCTCTTAAAAGTCAGATGACAAAAGCATAACCTCAGTCCTTGCTTCTACTGGTTCAGTTGACCTAGAGCACGTTAATTGTTAACCAGGAAAGAAAAAAAAAAAAGGAACTCGGTATTATTTCTAAGAAGTACCACCTTGTTAACACTGTAAGATCTTACCCAGTCCTTTTTAGCAATTTTACTAGAGAGCACTGATACAAGACCTAGGAACACAGACAAGATATTAACTACTTATCAGTCACAGCAAATAATTTCCTCATTCACTTTTGAGAGCAGATTCCAGAGCCTGGTGTCAGCGAGGGCTCCTTACAAGAGCCTGGGTGTGCACTATAAGCAGGCACCAGTGTCTGTTCCAGTAAGGTCATTTTTGTTCACCCCATGACCTCACTCTCTATTTACTTACAATTGTAACAAGTCTGAGGTTTTAGCCATTGTAACCTTCGCTAATCTCACAGAATCACAGAATGGTTTGGGTTGGAAGGGACCTTAAAGATCATTTAGCCCAGCCTCCCTGCCGTGGGCAGGGACACCTTCCACTAGACCAGGTTGCTCAAAGCTCCATCCAATCTGCCCTTGAACACTTCAACCCCTTGAAGCAGTGCCTAGCTATAAGCTTAAGTCATTTCAGTTAGTAATACACTGCCAATGTGGAACAGCAATTACAATCAGGATGGAGCCTACTGAAGTCTGAGAGTACAGCCAGACGTATAGCTAATTTTAAAATTATAATCATATAATTCCTTTCAAATTACACTTATAGGCACAGTCTCTGTGCTATTCCAGCAGGAGCACTTCCACTTTCAACTTTATAAAATTGTCACCCCTTACTCTGCAAGTGGTGATGTACAAAGAGGTGACTAGAATAGAATATTTCAGTTGGAAGGGATCTACAACGATCATCCAGTCCATCAGCAAAGTAGCTTCTCTCATTTGATCTACCGTGTCGTATTGTTGGAACCACAAAAAATAAGCCAGATGGATAAAGCTGGGTGGTGCTGGGCAGAGGGGACTGGGAAAGAGACAGAGGTGAATGGATACTGAGAAAAATTAAAATTTGTGAGTGAAAGAAAAGCATTATGTGTGTATATACATATAGAATATGTACATATATGTGTGCATATATACATTCATACCTACATAGTTACGCTATGAATATTAGTTGGATCTACCTACCACGTTTTACCTCCTCTGTAGTGTTTCTGAAACACACTCTACGAAACTTCTTGCAGTGTTCCCCAGATGCCATACTCAAATACCTGAATTTTCATTTCAGACCGATTTGGCTGGTAACATTTACAGAAGCATATCGGACAGGCCAGAATCCATTATCAAGGGCAGAGGAAAAGATGCTGTGACAACGAAGCAGCAAAGTCCATAGGAATCTGAATGTTTTATTTGTAAATGAATAGAAAAGGTGACTTCTCTGAGATACTAAAAGAGGCAGTCTGCAAGACTTGACACAACCACAGAAATGAAGTGAACTAAAGGCCCACTGTAATTTCCTGACTACAAAACTTTATTGAATCAACTAAATTCTAATAAATGTTGACCTTCTGATCCCATGTGTATTCCGCTACTGACTCCACCTTTTTTTTATCACCAAACACAAAACGCTTGCCCTCAGTTCTCAAAACTACATAAGCATATTTCCTACAGGCCTCTCATCGGTTACAAAGCTGCCAAGGCTTGACAGCCACTTCTTTCCCCGACCTGTTTTCGTCCCAAACAAAAGCCAGGAAACTTTCCCCTGTGCAGGTGCTCTTTGTTTATTTGGAAAACGGGAGGGGGGACTTCCCAGGAACATCCACAAGACTCTCTTTGTTTTTTCCAAGCTCTCCTTTGTCCTCTACTCCAGCCTTTCCTCGAAGTCATAAAGCAAGCAATGAAAATTGAGAATATAAGTCACTATTGATTATCCCATTTTTAACCCTTGCATCAGGCTTAGATAACACTTTTGTTTTATTCATCTCATACTGAGAGGTAAGGCTCTCAGACATTGTTGTGGTTTAACCCCAGCCGGCAACTGAGCACCACACAGCCACTTGCTCGCTCCCCGCCCCCA